CATTCTGATGGGTCAGAGTGCACCCTTCTCTAAACTCAGTCAGCCAGAGTTGCATCCCATTTTGAGTTTGGAAATTCAGACAACACTATATTTTTTAGGCTGAAAGTTCAGAGTTACATTCAAATTGAAGGCTGCTGTCTTTTATACTTTATCAAAGAATTGAACCAGATTACAGCATTCCTGTATTAACGTGAGTGTGTGGTGCCGCGCTCAGGATTTTTTTCGTTTCCCGCACGTGATTGACGGTGTTAGTGCAATACGCCGCGAGGCTGGTGGAAACCCCTGCAGTACCGTATTCCCCCGGATAAAACACCCACCCCGAATTGTACACCCCCGGGTAGCTTGTGCGGGGGGGGTGTTATATTTGACCCCGTTGGTACTATACCCCCCCTTTTGGGGTGATTTTTCATAACACCCCCCTTTCCGTATAGATTTGTTATTATAATAGCTGATAACGAGTGCGTGCAAGTATGGGAGGATGCAAAAATCCCTCCCTCTACGAAATTACACGGAACTTTCAAATGAAATCTGCCGAAATTCCCCCCCTCCCACAATTTCGCTGTCGCCAGGCTGGCGAATCTTTCGTGGTCAAGTGGCCAAAGAGGTGCCACATGCCATCTCCAAGGTGGTCAAGATATCATTTGCCGAAACTCGGGTTCCCGCCTCTGAGTGTGCTAGTTAACCAACTTCGAAAACACCGAAGCTGTCCATTTATAAACATCCTTATGTGAAAAAATGTCATATGAATAGACCCGGGTATTATAAAATATTTTCCGTTGAGGAGACCCCCCCCATTTTTTCCCAGTGGTTATCATAATACCCCCGGGTGTTTTATCCGGGGGAATACGGTACACGTTTCAGAGTGCACCCCCGAAACAGGCCCTCAGATTCGTTTTTTGCCTGTCTGATTGGTCAGAGTTAGTACACTCTGTTAGTCTTTTTTGGTCAGAGTTGGTTGGAAAAAAAGGCTGAAACTTCAGAGCGCCCTAAAAAAAAAGTCTGATGCATTCAGAGTCTACCACATACCAGAGTCTGAGATGTTGTACTACGCACAGCTGGCCTGCACTACATAGTACATACATACTGCTAGCACATAACAGTCAAGAGTCAAAACTAGTAGCTACAAAGGTCCTATCCTATCCTATCTACTCTAGGCTACTCTTCAAAATCCATCATCATCATCGGATGCCTCATCATCCTGCTCTACGTCTTCTACTTCCATCACCTCCTCTGCCTCCTTGGCCTCCTTCTGCTGCTTTCCTGCAGGCGGGATAGAAGCGTTGCTGTGGGGCTTGCGCTTCTTGTAGGCCCTCCAGATCGTCAGGATCTCCTCCCAGTTGGGTTCGTAGTCCATGAGGCTCATGCACATGAGGTCGCCCAGCCGAGCATCCTTCAGGGCGCCTCTCTTCCATGACTTGATAATGTTCTGCCTCGAGAACCCCCGCTCGCACTCCACGGTGCTCAGTGGCAGGACAGCTACCGCCACCCACAGATGAACAAGGTTGGGGTAGTTGTCCCGCCAGTCCGGCGTCTTGAGCATGGCTGTGAGGCCCGCGTGGAAACTGCGCTCACCCTTGGTAGAGGCTGCAAGCACCGATGTAAACATGCGCAGCTCCTTCTCTGCACGGCGCTTGTTGACTCCTGGCGGGATTGGGTAAACAGCAGATTGGAATGAGTTAACAAACAGAGCGGGAAGATTAAACACATACAAGGAAACATTCATCGCACAGTACAGACGCAGAGCAACGATGCAGGATGATAAGGCTTACCTGGCACGATCTCCTCCGTCTGGTCGGCCTTGAACAAGGTGACCAGCGACTGAAGCCACTGAAGGCACCGCCGTTTCCTCTCGGCTCGATCCAGCGGGTACTCGTCTGGCAGGAACAGCTTCACCCCGGACATCCCATCCAGGTCACCTAGGCGATGCTCGAGTTGGTGAACAATCACCTCCGCGAACTCCGTGCAGAGTGCCACGCAGTCGTCATGGCTCCCGGGCCCTTCGAAGTCCTCCACCTTGTCCTCATGCAGCACGAATGTGAAGTGTGCTGGGCGGCCGTCCGAGTCAATGCCTTCAACTGTCACCTCCCGGTTTCGGGGTGCCCCATAGCGCGCGATGAAGGGGGACAGCCGCTCGCTCACCCCGCCACCGAAGTCGTCGCCGCAATCAACGTAGCGGCTCTCGATGTGGGAGGTTGTGCGCTTTATCTGGGCAGCCACGCCGGCATAGTCAAGCTGGACAGAAAACAAAAACACTGTAGTTAGTGGTTGATCAAGGTTAACAAACATACAACACAACATCAACAGACAGCTATGGGCAACCTCACCTCCTTCTGCTGGAACACCCGGTTCAGGATGTTGAGCTGCTCAAGCACATCTGCAATGAAGAAGAGCAGGAAATGAAACCTGTAGCTCGTAACCAGAGCATAGAGGTCCGCGTCCCACTCCTTGAGCATCACAATGAGTGCCGGCAGCACCGCGACAAGCCTGAGCACTGCGTCGCTACGCGAAAGCCACCAGACGGAATGAATGCCCTGGAGCTCAAGAGAGGTTGACGCGAAGACTTCCTGGAGCCCCATGAACCGTTGATGCCACGGTCCCGAACGGCCGAGATACTCTGCCACGGTGCGAATGACCGAGTCGATGACATTGAAGGCCGGAACCTTCTCGGCCGCCGTTTTGGCCGCGAGTGCCTCCCTGTACACAAGATGCAAACATCATTAGTCACGAATGAACGAGACGAAGAGGATCAGGTGCTTCCCGCTGCACCTATCCGTGCTCTCGTCGATAGCGATGCCGACGAAGGGCGACGCCAGAACGTGTTCCAGCTGGGTGGTCTGCAGCCATGTCGCAGTCGCTTGCGTCAGCTCCCCGAAACCGTATCTGCATGCAGTGACAGCAGTTTGCACATTAACTCCAGGATCAAACAGACAGGAAATGCATCAAATAGGATCAAGAAAATGCATCAAATAACATCCGGCAATTGCACTTACGTGGTATAGTAGGTGCCATAGCCCTTCTTCGGGAAGCCAGGCACGCCCTTCTCCGCCAGGTAACGCACAAGCTTCACCCACATCCCCATCGGCGCATCGGACCTGCTGATGAACAGCAGGGAGTCGAGAAGGGCGACGACGCGCGATTGCTCTCCGTCCGTGGTGGCGCGATGTTGGTCGATCTGCGGCTACCTCGCTCCGCACTCCTGCACTGCTGTTTGTCTCGCCATCGCCAGCTTGTGCTTCGCCGTGCCCGCGTGTTTACGGAACGACTGGGTCTGCAAGTCTGTGGCTCCTTTGCCGCGTCTCCCGCACTTGCCTCCGTCGCCTGCATAAGCTGCACACACAGTACACTTGAAGGCAGGCAAGCCGGAGGTGGTTTTGGTGATTTGCAGCCAGGGAAACCGCGCTTGCCATTGACTCTTGAACTTGTCGATGGCATCATCGTACAGCCCTTCAATGAGCTCGGCCAGATTAACGGTAAGGCGTGGTCGCGGACGGTCAGCCGTGCGGGGAGAATTGTTGACGTCGGCGGTCGAACTTGACGGCTTGGCGAAGTTCAATGTCGCCTGCTTGAGGCGGAAGGTTCGCGCCGTGGTCTGAGCGGGATGGTGCGATGCCGTAACGACAGTTGGTTCCGCAGGTGACTCTTCCACGGGGTCGGGATTTGAGATCACGGGTGCTAGAGGTTCCTTCAAGGTGGGGACTGAATCGGGCTCGGCACGTGCTACCTTCTCGAGAGCTAGGTGACTGAGGAGGAAATCTAAGCCTGTTAACGCAGGCTGCGATCCAGGGTCGTCGTCATCGGAGGCAGCGGAATTGTCGGGCTGAGCCATGGCGACGAGTTGGGAGAGCCTGCCGAGCAGGAACGTGAGGCGGTTCTGAGGCAACTGAACTGGGCAGTGGAGGGGACCCGTGAGTAGAAGCTGAGCTGAGGGATGGGGATGAAACCCTAGCTCGATGCGGATGGCCCTATAACTGACTGGGGCCATCCGTGCCCAGGTCGCTGGTTGCCTAGCATGCTCGGCAACGACGAGGCGCGTCTGCCGTGCACAGCTGGGAGGAATGTTTCGTGTGGTACACGATGCTGCCAAAGGGACCAATTAAATGGTCTTCTTGGCAACGTCAGCTTGCCATCACATTTACGTGGGTGGCAACTGCTGCAGCAATGTGGACACTGGTGGTGGTGGGGTTCGTGATGGCAGTCAAAAGCTGCCAAACGGACCAATCAGTGCTCTAACAGAGTGTGTGCTGGAGCTTACACCGTGGGAAACATCGCACCGCAGGGCGGGGGAATCTTCCAGCTGTACGAGGGAAACACCGCGCCGCAGGGCGGCGTCGCCCACTGGTACAATGTACCGCGGGTAATCCTGGGTGTCGGTGCACAGGTAGTTTCTATCAGAGTCGGTACTCGATTGTACTCTGAATTCCTCAGAGTACGCTTACGAAAATCTCTGAAATCTCAGAGTCAGCCTATAACAAAAATCTGAATTTCTTAGAGTTCAAGCCAAAAAAAATCTGAATTTCTCAGAGTACACTCTCAAAAAAATCTGAAATCTCAGAGTTTTCCAATCAAATCAGACAAATTTCTCTGACTTCTGAGGGCCTGCCCCGAAACAAGGCTGAGGCTCAGCCTACACCTGTAAAATTTGTCTGAACTTTCAGCCAATACGTTGAAAAAAACTCTGAAAAATCAGAGAAGGTACATAAAAAAATTCTTACAGTTCAGACCAGATAGCGTACCAAAAAAAAGTCTGAACGGACTCTGAATCAGACTTAAAAGTCTGATATCTAGGGCACTGCTTGCAAAGATCCTAAGGGCTTTTCTCAGCCCAACACGCTTCTATCCGGGAATACAGCATCTGCATTATGATAAGTCAGCTTGTATAAATCTTCATTTGATATGTACACCAACATGTACTACTCCATAAGAAGGAATATTACAAATGCAGAGAACCTGACGAACTAAGCTACAGTCTTAGCATTCATGGATCCCACCAGCTTTTTGTTCTATGTACCACTCTCTACCGTAAGAATCTGCATTTGTGATGTTCCCTCTCGGATCACACATCCTTCTTCCCTTGGCCTGTCCTTCAAAGCAAGCAGCTTTCCCGACAAGCTGCTGGTGGTGGCGGCAAAGCCAATGTAGAGCTGGCCATTGATGCCAGCCTGGATGGCGCTGAGCACGTCCGCCAGGTCCGCCGGCGCGACAGTGAGCACATTGGCCAGCGACCACGACACGGAGCTCAGCAGCTGCCACGTGCCGGGCAGCTGCAGCGCCACGGCTGGGGCTGCCTGCCCGCACGTGCTGTTGCCGCTGTAGATGGCCGCCGCCTGCGGTGCCTCCGCCATGCCCGTCGCCACCAGCTCGTACGCCACCGCGTATGACGACCCCCTGCTCGTGAGCAAGGGGGCAGGGGGAGGGGGGGGGAGGCAAGCGCGGGACGGTTGGGAATGGGGGGGGAGAGAGGAGGGGTTGAGTGGGGTGCACAGCAGGGGATGTTTCATTATACGAGTGTTCTTCGCTGGAGGGTACTGTCTACTGATAGGCAGAACCATTATGAGAGTCAGAACGGATGATAGGCAATGGCTATAACGTGGAAGGAATCGTGAGAAGATTAAGAGAGACAATGCGCGACTTGTGCAGGGAAGGCAGTAGTTGGGAAGGAGAGTGAGGGGCCGTGGCTTACATCTTGGTGATCTGGATGTTGGCTGCTCCCACCGGGAGAAGGCCCTCGCACGAGGTGAGCACGCCACGCAGCATGCCTGCAGAGACGGGATGAGCAGCAGTAGAAAAGGATTGGATTGAGTGAGCAGGGAGGGTGCAAGAATGGTGAGCACAAGCATGCCTGCAGTGACGTGACGGGCATGGGCAGAGAAGAATTGGATTGAGAGAGGAAGGTTGTGCAAGAATGACCTGCCGGCTACGGTTTAGGGTTTGCAAGACTGACCTGGTGGGTGCGGGTTTAGGGTTTGCGGGATGGGGGTTTGCGGGACTGACCTGCTGGGTGTGGCAGCAAAGCCACGAGGTCCGCCACGCCAAGGGCGTCACTCAGCGGGGCGATCAGCGCGTCCACCTGCGCAGCGAGCGCCGACACGTCCACATTCAGCGCACCCACCCTCTGAGTGAGAGCCGCCACTCGCTGACTGAGCAAGGTGCGGAGGTTAGGGAGGATGGCCGCCAGGTCCGTGTTGAGGGAAGTGGCGCGATTGTTGATAGCGGGGATGCTGCTTCTTAGCGACGAGATGCGCGACTGGAGTGCGACAGGTGTCGCCTGCGGAGCAACGCCGCCGGGTCGGGAGATTCTAAGGTACAAGATAAGGTCTAGGTTCGCAATGCGGGCGTTTAGAGTGTCGATGCTGCCCTGCAAGGCGGAAATCTGTGCTTGAAGCGCCAGTGTGGCCGCGGATGCGTTGTCGTTCAGCGAGGTAGCGAGCTTGTTGAGTGCTTGCGTCAGCGTTCCTTCTAGTGAAACGACTTGCGCTTGCAGCTCGGATATTATAATATGTCGTGTTTTGAACACTATCTCGCTGAATATGTCGTGTCACTTCTGCTAGTGTCACGCCCCTTATTAAATTGGCGACTCGAACATTACTCGAAAGCGTATTTGTAACGGATCTATGAAGAAAAAGGGCATTTACCCACTTAATAATAGGTTCTAATACAACCAGAGAGTAGCAGCTCCTGGAAAATGACTAAGTCTGAGAGTTGCTAGGAGATGCAGTCACAAACTGTGGAAGGTGTGTTGTGAAGAGAGAGATCCCATTTCCCAATTGATTAGTTGGGAGTAGGAAATGGAGAATGAGCCAAGAGGCTTCAGACCCCTTCCCTAGACCCCCTTGGGGTGCAACCACCTTCCCCATGGCAAGGAGGGGTGCACTCCCTTGGGCCTTGCCCATGTGGCAATTAACAAGATTCTCAACCAATAATATTATATATTGCATGGATAGGAAATGCACAGCAATCACAAACCTGTGTTTGATGTTTATTGGTTGTGTTTGGAGTGAGCGGCGGAAATATTGTCGACTCACTCTTGGGGCTGTGATCTGATTGGTTGAATTAGTGATGAGGTGAACTTACGTGGGTTATGTTTGAACAAGCTCAAACCAATCGCGTAAGTTTGACTCAGGAACAACTTGATTGGTTGGTTTCCCAATCAATCCTGAATTGTCTGTAAGTCTCGCTTTCCCAACCAACCAGATTCCCCACCTTTCTCCCTCAGCTGGTTCGATGTATCGAGACCAGCTGGGTTTTCGTACGGATGTTACACTCCTCCCCCTCCAGCTGGCAACGTCCTCGTTGCCGTGGGGTGCTTCTTAGGACGAGTGCTACGAGCACGACGAACCACATTACGACCAGGGTCAACACCATCCGCTGGTTGTGGGAGTGCTCGCTGAGCCAGGTCTTCCATGTAAGACTGGACCGCAGTATCAGTCAAATGTTCTTCCGGCTCCCATGAGTTGTGTTCAGGCCCATAGCCTTTCCACTTAATGAGGAACTCTCGTACAGTCTTGCGGCCGCGTTGTCGATCACGGTGCAAAAGCACTCGTTCGACTTCATAGTACAGTTCCTCCCCTAGGACGATTGTTGGTGGTGGCAAGTACTTGCCTTCTGCAACGTACTTGCTTAACAGAGACACATGGAAGACATTGTGAATCTGCAGGGTATCAGGTAGCTTGAGCTTGTAAGCTACCGCACCAACTCGTTGCATCACCTCGAAGGGCCCAATCCAGCGAGGGAACAACTTTCTCGCACCAGGGATCTTAAGCCGAATATTTTTCGTGCTTAATAAAACTTTGTCTCCAACGGAGAACGATACTTCCCGGCGTTTCATGTCGGCATAGGATTTTTGTCTTTGTTGGGCCAACTGCAGCCAACGACATGCCGACTTTAGGGCCTCTCGTTGCTTGCCCACAAAATCCTTTGCGGCAGGTAATTTCAAACCGCCGATCCCATGCGTAGCAGGTGTTGTGGGATGCCGACCACAGTTCAGGATAAATGGTTTTTCATGTGTGCTATCATGCACTGAGTTGTTAACCGCAAACTCGACCATGGGTAACAACTCGTCCCAATTGTCCTGTGTTGGGCTTATGAAAGAACGAAGCATCTGCTCGAGAGTGCGGTTAGTCCGTTCCGTTTGGCCATCAGTCTGGGGATGGAACGCTGACGACATCTTAAGCTTCGTTCCTAGTGTCTCGGTTACTTCACGCCAGAATCGGCTCGTGAAGCGCGGGTCGCGATCAGACACTAATACACGTGGCAATCCGTGTAGGCGGAACACATGTGTCACGAACAACCGAGCAGTATCCTCTGCTGACACGTCTGTTGTCGTGGGTACGAAGTGCACCATTTTTGTAAGGCGATCTACGAAGACGAGTATCGCCGTATACCCATCACGGGTTCTTGGGAGGTCGGTGATGAAATCCAGTGAAACGCTTTCCCAAGGTTCACTCGGAATTTCAAGTGGTTGAAGCAAACCACCAGGCTTCTGTGTGTCCGGTTTGTTACGTGCGCACGTGTCACAACGTGCCACAAACTGTTGGACATCACTACCGACTCCAGGCCACCAATATACATCGCGTAAGGCCCACCGGGTCTTATTCATGCCCAGATGTCCCCCGTATTTAGTGGCGTGCACCTCTTCCAAAATATCGTTCCGTAGATTGCCTACATGAGGTACCGCAATCTCTTTTGTTCGCCACCAAAGATCGTGTTCCCAAGTCAAATGCTTAGTGTTTTGTGGGTTCTGGAACCAGGAATCGATATGATATCCTGTGCGAATTCGTTTCAGAAAACCACTGAACGCGATCTCGCTCACTTTCGCCGTAGCTAGTATACTAAAACAGGCAGCAAAAACAGCCGCATGTTCGGTATCGTCAAGCCCAGTTGCTGCCCCTATCGGCTGTCTGCTGAGGGGGTCAGCCAGGTTCGTCGAACCCGCACGATAACGAATGTCGAAACTGAACCCACTGAGGAGTTCAGCCCAACGGGCCTGACGGCGAGTGAGGGTAGCTTGGGTAGAAAAATATGTGTTCGGACAATGGTCAGTGGTGACCACGAACTCTACCCCTTCCAAATAACATCGCCATGTTCTTAGCGCATGCACGACAGCCAACAATTCCTGTTCGGTAGTCGTGTAGCGTTGCTCTGCCGGGGAGAGTTTTCTACTCTCGAATGCCACAGGGCGTCCATCTTGCAGGAGTACTGCTCCAAGTCCCACCGTTGAGGCGTCTGTAACCACCTCATATGGTTTCTGTGGGTTTGGCAACGCCAAAACTGGTACGTTGGTTAATTTATATTTAACCTCCTCAAAGGCCTTTTGGCACTGTGGGGTCCACTCCCACGCACACCCTTTCCGGGTCAATGCCGTGAGGGGAGCGACTATCGTGGAATAATTTTCCAAGAAGCGACGAAAATAATTCGCCAGGCCCAGGAATGATCGAACTTGGCCAACGTCGCGTGGGACGGGCCACTCCTGGACAGCTGCTACCTTCTTGGGGTCCACTTTCAACCCATTATGCCCCACCACGTGCCCCAAATACTCTAGCTCACGCTTGTAAAAATGGCATTTCCACAAACGCGCGTAGTATTTGTGCTCGCGTAATTTTCCGAGGACCCATTTTAAATGTTCCGTATGCTCGTCTTCGGTTTTCGAGTATACCAGGATATCATCGAGGTACACCAAGACGAACTGGCCAATCGCATCACGAAACACATCGTTCATCGTGTTAAACTGTATTATGCTTGTAGGCTGTAGTGGGGTAGCCAATATGGGGTACAACCCCAACTAGGGTTTCATATTTGTACCCAAACTTCTGTTAGTTCATCCATTCTTGCCTAGTGATTCTGATATGGTATTCAGAGCAGGAGGTCCCTAGGACCTACCGACCGTTTTTTTTTTAAGGGCCCACCACCGCTCGCTGCGGTTACCACGCTACCCCGTGCCCTAGCCTCGTAGCGCCCTCGTGCGCCCTCGTTAGCGCCCTCGCGCGCCCCTCGTTAGCGCCCTCGCGCGCACCCTCGTTAGCGCCCTCGCGCGCCCCTTCGTTAGCGCCCTCGCGCGCCCCTTGCTAGCGCCCTCGCGCGCCCCTTCACTAGCGCCCTCGCGCGCCCCTCGCCGAGCCGCCCGCTCGCAGCCCGCCCGCCCGCTCGCTGCCCGCTTCGCGGCCCGCTCGCTACGCAGCCCGCCCGCCCGCTCGCTGCCCGCTTCGCGGCCCGCCCGCTTCGCAGCCCGCTCGCTCGCTGCCCGCTTCGCGGCCCGCCCGCTTCGCAGCCCGCTCGCTCGCTGCCCGCTTCGCGGCCCGCCCACTTCGCAGCCCGCCCGCCCGCTAGCTGCCCACTTCGCGGCCCGCCCGCATCGCAGCCCGCTCGCCCCGCTGCCCGCTTCGCAGCCCGCCCGCTGCCCGCTTCGCGGCCCGCCCGCCTCGCAGCGTCGCCCGCCCGCCGTGCTGCCCGCTTGCAGCGCCGCCTGCCCGCCGCGCTGCCCGCTTCCCGGCCCGTCCGCCGCGCTGCCCGCTCGCAGCGTCGCCCTCCCGTCGCGCTGACCGCTTGCAGCGCCGCCTGCCCGTAGCGCCAGCCTACCCCGCTACTCTCTATCCGTGCACAGTCGCCTTCCCCTGCTGCGGCAGCTTGCGTTACTCTGTCACACTGTCACTATGGCTTCCATCCGCGTGCTGTCGTTCGATGCTGAGGGCCGCCCTGTGCGGTTCACCGCTTGGCTAGATGACCTGCAGCTGTTCCTCCTGAGCGATAGCAAGGAGCATGTGTCGCTCTATGATTACGCGTCTGGTGCTGCGCCTGCCCCTCCTGCCACAGCTGAGCTTAGTGTTCGTTCCCACTGGCAGACTCGTGACGCAGCTGCTCGCCTAGCCATTCGCAGTCACCTGCCGTTAGCTGAGCTAGAGCATTTTGGCGACTGCAAATCCGCTAAGGCCCTGTACGACGCTGTCGTCGCTCGCTACTCCTCGCCTGCCACAGCCGAGCTTAGCCGCCTCATGCTGCCGTACCTGTTCCCCGATCTGTCCACCTTTACTACAGTCGCCGATCTTATCACCCACCTTCGCACTAGTGATGCTCGCCTGCGTGCCGCCCTTCCCACCGAGTTCTGCGCTAAGAACCCCCCTCCACTGTACTGGACACTCCACTTCATAGTCACCCGTCTCCCTGACACCCTCCGCTCAGTTCGAGACCACTTCCTTGCTCGCTGTCCCACTGAGCTCACAGTCGCCCTCCTAGAGGAGCACCTGCTCGCGGCCGAAAAGAGCATTGTAGCTGTCGGTGCTGCTCGTGGCGCTCCTCGCACCCCCATCTTTGAGGGGTGTTCTCCCTCTCCCCTCGCTCCCTCCTACGCTGCTGCTGCTGCTGTTGACTTCCTTGGTGCTGAGTCTGTTGGCGCTGCTTCTACTCCTGGTGGGAGGCGCCGCACCGGCAAGGGCAAGGGGGGCAAAAGTGGTGGTGGTGGCACTGGGGGGGGAGGAGGTGGGGGAGGTGGGGGGGGAGGCGGTGCTGGAGGGAGCGGTGGCGGGAGCGCTGGTGGGAGTGGGGTCGGTGGTGGAGACGGGGGCGGCGGAGGAAGCAGTGGCAGTAGTGGCGGCGGCGGCGGTGGCGGCGGTGGCGGCGGTGGCGGTGGTGGCGGTGCCGGTCGGAGCGGTGGTAGTGGTGGCGGCGGAGGTCGGAGTGGAGGCACTGGCTCGGGCCAGAGCTCCCAGCAGCAGCAGCGTCCCCAGACGACCCAGCAGCTTCGTGAGTGGCTTGCTCAGCGTGGGACGTCGGGGGCCAGTGCCCGCTGTTCTTATGTCATTCGCACAGGTGACCGCAAGGGACAGACGTGTGGGAGGTTCCACACCCCGTACCGCTGCTTCTCCCGCCTTGACGACGCTTGGCGTGAGGAGATGGGTGCGGATGTTGAGCGCCCCCGCTGGGCTGAGCTCATGAGGGCTGGTGTTGATGTCTTTGCTCTTGACTATGATGCTATTATTGCTGCCATGTATGCATTGACTGTTAGTGCCGAGGGAGACTGTTACTTGTGTGTGCCGCCTGACCCAGGTATAGAGCCCGCTGCCCTGGGTACTAGTGAGTCTGCTCTCTCTGGTATGGTGCCCCCTGTACTTGCTCCCCCCAGTGCTGTCCCGACTGGTTTCGAGTCTGCTCTCTCAGGTACAGCACCCACAGAGACTGCTCTCTCAGGTACCGCACCGGCTGAGGCCTGTCACACCTTCACCCTTGACTCAGGTGCTTCCCGTTGCTTCTTTCGTGACAGTACTGAGCTCACACCGCTTCCTGCACCGGTCCCAGTCTCCTTGGCTGACCCCTCTGGGGGCCCAGTCCTTGCCCAGTCCACCACTGTCCTCCCTTGTCCGGCGGTTCCGTCTGGCTCGTTGTCGGGTTTCCACCTCCCCTCGTTCTCGACGA